ATGACCCTAAACAACACAGTTATACAAAATCAACTCGCATGTTGTCGATGTAGATGTGGCCTACAAGATGAATCGCGTAGGGTTATTCGTCCTGGGATGTAATCCCCTGTGTTGAAACCTGGAGGGAAAGAAAGAGAAAATTAGGGTTTGATAAGAAGAGAGATCAATAATGGACTAGAATGAGGGGTAGTGTGTGTGCCTGGAGGATGAGGTCGTCGCAAATATCGGCGATCTTGTCGTAGGATTTGGAAGCCATTGCGTCGCTGTGGATCGCTCACGATGGTTAGATCTCGGCCAAGGACTTAAATCTAATTCAAATCTCGATGATCTTCTCGGATCCGGCGGAGGCACCAACGGAGGAGAAGGAGGAGGATCATCGACGACGGTGGGTGTTTGGGAGAGAAAGAGAGCCCCACTAGCAGAGGACGGAGGAGGATCATCGATGGCAGTGGAGATCTACGGCGGTGGCGGTGGTCAGCGGTGAGGTGAGGTGGTGAAGGAGAGAATCTATGTGAGAGGTTTGAACAAATTGTTGTGTGTAAATAGAGAACAGGGGCGGGTGCCAATATTAAAGTGATTTCCCTCTAAAAGAATTTCATCTTTAGCGACCAAATTTGTTTTTTGTCACAAAATCTTAATATATAACGACTAAATCTTTTGGTAGCCAAATCTCAATCAACGGTGACTAAAATATTAGTCGTCAAAAGTACTAATTTGGCGACTAATTTTTTTTGGGTCGGAAAAAATAAATATACGACGACTAATAATTTTTTTGGTCGCTAAAACCTAACCTTTTCCGACAACATTGTTTGGTCGCCAATGGAGTAACCATAAAAATATCACCGTTATTTGGCGACTAAATTTGGTCGGCCATTGTCTGTTAGTACATTTATATATCAAAACGACGTTGTTTTGATATCTACGAATAAATTGTATTAGTATCTACAAGATTATACTCTCCCGCCCTGTTTTTCACCCTCCCGCCTATATTTTTGGCAACTAACATTTTAAATTGGTCGCAAAAAATCACTTTTCTGCAGCAAAATTACTTTAGTCAACAAAACTATGAAATTTTAGTTGCGAATTTTTTTTTTAGTTGGCAAATGTCATTTTTTTGCAACCAAAATTTTTTTAGTCGGTAAAAGTGTAATTTCTTGTAGTGATTGTAATTATGTTTTTGCCCATTTGATTTTTAGTTTTTGAAAAATATTAGGTTGATTTGATAATCGTAACTTTTTCATTTTTTTCATATCTTTTTTTGAAAAAATGAATCAAAAGTATATTTTGAAAATAACTATCAATTTTTTTATTTTTTTTATTTTTGGAAACAATCACTATAAAACAAAAAAAGTTACGATTATTAGATCGACTCAATTTTTTTTGGAGGACCTTATAATATGAACGGTTCAAATTATCAAAACAAGATTCATAAGGAACCTCACGCCTCAAGTTCTCTCTCAAGTTGAGATGTGAACTTAAGGTAGTCCAACCTTTATTTTATCATACAATCAATGATTTAAAACTATTTTTCAAACAATAAAAGAAGTGGTCACTCCTAGTGTGTATTTTTCCCATTGCAAAATGATTTGTCATAGTTTTAAAATTCATCTGTTTCATGCAACTTCTGTTTTTTGCATTAAAATGTTCTAAATTTGCTCTTTTTTGTTTTTGTTTTTGGTTTTGTGTGTCAAAGAAAGAGAGAGCGAGAGATAGATGTGTTGCCCTGCATTGTTTTGGATATGGCTTATAAGTTGACTTTTTTGCGCATTACGAAAAGACGTATTGAAAAATAGAGGGGTGATATGACTCAAATAAATCAATAAGCCAATAAAACAGCTTACTTATGGTGTTGCCAAATAAGGCCCGTTGTTGCTAGCAATAACCATGTGCACATCTTATATTAGCAAAGTTTGAATTGTACCTTATCTTTTTATTTTGTTTTTTTGCCGACCCAAAACCATTCTTTTTTTTGTAGTTCAAAAAATATATTTGATGTTTTTGTTTTTGTTTTTTCTATTTTTATTTCGAAATGACGTAGTTTTGAGATCGATTGTTCTAAGATAAATATAGACTTTTGGATGATACCTATGCACACATCCTATTATAGAAAAAAAAAAAGTATTGTAAGATCATTGCAAAGATGGGTATGATAGAGGATCCTATTCCTTTGAAACAGATCTGACTTCTCTCTAGTTGGGTAGAAATGTAGTTTGGTTCAGTATGACAGAGGATCTCATTCCTTTGAAACAAATCCGACTTCTTTAATTGGGAAACAAAATGTAATTTGGTAATTTCGGTTCAGTTGGGCTTGTGGGCCAATCACGAGTCCTACTCTGGTAATATGGTAAGCCTTTATGTGCCCAACTGGACTGGACTACATTGCACTTCTTCCGAACTCGAGAGCGGTAGACGCCCAACTGGACTAGACTATACTTCTCCCAAACTTGAGCGTAAGCATATCCTTTTGAAATGTATATATTAAGGTTATAAAAGTCATTGCACTTGAGTTTTATTTTTATACCACATTCTCCTTGGTTCGAGTCGCGAAAACTGCCTCTCCACTTACCGGGGGTAAGATTGCGTACATCAACCTTTCCTCCAAATCCAGCTTAAGCGGGAGTTTCGTGCACTGGGTACCCCCTTTGTTCTCCTTTCATATTAGTGCCGTTAAGCTCTCATTTTTAGTCCACTGATAGAGACATTTTAATAGTCACCTCTATGACTATTGCACCGAACTATATATAATTAGACCAGAAGCCATTTAGCCAGTCCCAGAACACCTTCAAAATAATGCAATTTTTACATAGCAAAATAGGTGTCCAATACAGAAGAAGTCCTAGTACTTTTCTTTCATTCTCAGTCCTTTTGTTTGTTTCCACCATTCCATCACAACACTACTTTAATTCAATCACAACCAATCTCAGTAGGACAAACTCTCATCTCCTCTGGCCAAATCTTCGAGTTAGGGTTCATTAGTCCAGTGATTCCACTAAACAATCTGTTGGAATATGGTACAAGAACATACCTCTCTTTGTCCGTAAAGTCGTACAGGTGGCAAACAGAGAGAATTTTCCAGCAATAGACTCTGCCTCAAGTCAAACAAATGGTAAATATGAAAATCTGAGATTACCATATGGCATGAGCAACACTGTCTGGTGGACAAATGTTTATGTGCCCTCCAATGATTCAATTGTAGTGCTTTCAGACGAGAGAGACTTTAATTTTATAGATAATGTCTCTGGATTGATTCTGTAGGAGAGCTTTACTGATCCTTGTGACATTTTCTTATCGGCCATGATTCTAGGACTGAACACGAAAATATGAGAAAAATGCTTCCTATTTTCGTGGCAAACGGAAGATGGCCCATTGCCTGGAAAGTTTGTTTCTGGTATTGAACTAGACGCACCACTACAAGCTTTCATTTGGAATGGTTCTAAGCTGTACTAGAGAGGCAGTCCATGGGATGAATCGAAATTTATAGGGATACCGGACTCTGACATGAGCCATGACAAGGGATTTAGCCTCCTAACGGATAATCATCAGGGAAAATTGTACCTCACAATGGACACTTATAACACCTTTGATGTCAAAATTATGGCCTCAACACCAAATTGAACTTTGGAGATAATGTAATACGAAAAAGAAACAAAGAACTGGAATGTCAGTTGGGTGGAACCAACGAATCCCTGTGATGTTTATAGTGTTTTTAGACCTTTTGGTGTTTGCAACATGGATGGGTCTTTAATTTGTTAGTGCTTGAATGGGTTTTTTCCCGAGGAAACTGAGGATTAGAGGAAAGGAAATTAGATAGATGGGTGTGTGAGGAAAGTTGAGCTATTATGCCAAAAGAACAATAGTAGCTTAGCATCAGGATAATCTAAGAATGATGGGTTTACGAAGCTGAATGGAATGAAGCTTCCGAATGATTTTGAATATTTGTACAATGTGGATTCCTTAGGTTGCAAACAATGGTGCTTGAGTAATTGTTCATGTGTGGCATATGCATATGTGACTGGAATTGGATGTATGGTTTGGGTTGGATGACTCATGGATGTTCAACAGTTTTCGTTTGCTGCAAATGACCTCTTCCTTTCGCCTTGCGTATTCGGAGCAGGGTAAAGTTAATTGTTATGTGTTTTAATATATTTGGATTAGTATGCTCCGTTTGTTTATGCAGAAAACATTTCCCTAAACATTTTTCAGAAAATATTTAATGTAGAAATGTTTTCTTATATTTGGTTGTGATTTTGAAATTAATGTGCTAGTGGTTGTGATGTTTGTGGTGTTGATAGCAGGTGGTGGCAGTGGTGGGGCAGTGACGATGATGGTGATGTGGTGGTGCTAGTGATAGGATGGCGGTGGTGGTGTTGATTATAGGGTGGTGGAACATTTTCTGCTCAACTAATCTTATTAATGGAAAACGCTTTTCATTGTCTTTTGTTTTTCATTGTACCAAACACCAAAAAATGCGTAAAAAATTTTTTAGAAAGATTTTCTGCCAAAACAGATAGAGTGGTAGTCACTTCTTTTATGTTTTTCATTTTCTTTTTATTTTTTCTTTTTCAGGAAAAGATGAAAAAAAAAAACATCATCATCTTTCCAACTATTTCTGGGGTTGTCTTCTTGGGTGCCTTCATGTATGGTTTGCGCAGGTGGAGAGCAAATCAAAGAGGTAAGAAGGCACTCTCTTACTTTTTTTTGTTTTTTTCCTTCTTGTTAGCTTTTGATAAAACTCTCTTTAGAATGAACTATATTTTGTATTGAATTTTTATCACTTATTGATTCATCTATATTGCCCATAGGCTTACATCCTTTTATATAGAGAAGGTTATACATAAGTTCAATGAATAAGATCCATGAACCTAAACAACCTTGTAATTAATTAGGTGCATGAATATAATCTAGACAATGTACTTAATAAATATAAAATACATGAATACAAAGAATGTATGAACTCAATGTATCCAATGCATGCAATGTAGGCGGAAATTTCTACCTACCTTCAGTGGATCAACATTTCCAAAAATGATTTCATCTACAACAGCTTGCATGTACCTATAATTAATCTGTTAGTACATTCAAGATAATGACAGTGCTCATAATGATGTACAACAATGGTTATGCCATCCAATTGAAATATGACATGGAAAATGGAACGTGGCTGTCAAAAAATGAAACGACTTGAATGTATGTATGACTATATGGGAAAAGAAGAAGAGTACAGACATAAACTTAGTCCTGTAGTTCGAATGAAGTCACACCTTGTTTCCTGCAATTTTAATATCAACAATTTTAACCTCACTTTTAGGCGATTTTAAATGTGGTCCTTCCATCTGGACTCTGGATCCGGTAGGAATCCTGACAGAAAATGACCATGTACATGGCATGCCCCTTTTTTAGAAGGGTAAAATTGTCATTTTTACCCTATTCCTCCATTTAAGCCTGTTTCTCTCACCTTATTCATCAGTTCCTATAACATCCTGGGTGTCACCATTGCATGAAGAAATATGAAATTTTTAAAAGCATGCTTTGTTAATTCTTTGAGACATGTTATAGAAACACTTGCTTCTTTGAATAATTTATATTTCATGCTCACTTGACATGCATTATACAAAGACTTAGAAACATGAGACAGCAAATTTTCTTTTATGCAATGCTATGTATGTATATATCGCTTCTATTGAAGTAAAATATATGTCAAATAAATACTTCACTAGGATAAATACCAGTATGCCAATCACACTTTTTCCGAAAGAACTCACAATGCAAGCAGATTTACTACCTGGAGAGTAATAAACTTTCATGCATAAATAGAAAACAAAGGAGCATCCATCAGTATGATAATGCATGCATACAAAGTAAATGCATCATACTTGATTGATCTACTTGAATAGGAAGCACAAATTAAATCACAAGGTAGGAAGGGACTCACTGGAATATGTGTTGTGAACAACTTTCGGAATCACCTGTTAAAATTAATTGCCTAAGGTCATAAACATGTTTTCTTTGCACCTGTCAGAAGAAAAACCAAAATCTACTCTCTTAGAACAATTTAAACCTATGAAACAATTTTAGATATAAAGAGACATTCATTTTGCTAATCAGTTAATATAATATTTAGATGAAATTGACAATGAATATGGAATTTGAAATTTTAATTTTAGAAGATTCATTTAAATTTGAATACGCATACTTCTAAATTCCAACAATCTCTCCTCATCCAAGTAGCGAAGCGTGTTCTTTTAAATGATTCTCCATCAAAACCTTTAAATTCGATGAATCTTTAAGGTTCACAAACAAGGTTAATTCATTAGACATGAATTAGGTGGATGTTTATGGAAAAGACAGTTCAAAGTAAGTAGTGGCTATGGTGCTGGAGGGTAGACATCTAGGGAAGTAAATAGTTCCTATGCAGTGGTTCCATGGAAGGGCAAAAGAAAAGTATGTCAAGTTTTCCCAATAATATGAGATTCAGCCTTCAGGATTGCTGACTAGAGACAAATTAGATTTGGGCATGATGTGAATGGGTATTATCCGTGCACCATGACTTTTCCAGATTTGTGTGTCACTGGCAAGAACAAGAATGCTTGGGTGGCTGACTATTTGAGGAGTTAGGGAGCTATTTTTTTGTACAGGCAATACATGATTGAAATTTGGGATAATGGATGAGTTTTTTGAAGCTCAGTACAGGGTGGACGTGGCTCATAGAGGAGAATAGGATGATGTGAAAAAAAATAATAAGAGATTTTATATCATATTTTCCCACAATATTGTAGGAGTGTGTGTGGAATAGACATGCTCCACTAGTTTTTGATTAAAATTCAGTTTCTGATTAAAATTCCCTAAAACTCAATCTACATGTAAATCACAAATTAGTGTTACAAATAAAACTCATAAATAGAATAAACCCAAAAAATCGGTGATATTTGTAAATCAAAAAAAAGAAAATTTTAAAACTCAAATGGTTTTCCCTAATTTCATAAATCATAACTTAAATCTACAAATTAGTAAGTTTAGAGTTTCATTGAAAAAGAGAACAAATAAAAAAACCCCAAACAAATTTTTTTTTTTCTTCACAATTCATAATTCACAATTCACAATTCTTGATTGGAATTGTGGGGTAATATGATGTAAAACAATCAGTAACCCTCTACACATCAGTAACAATCAATTCTTGGCTGCAATTAGTAACAATCAATAACACATAATATAAAACATGCATAGATTCTTGGCTGGAATTGTGGGGTCAATTCTTTGAGGCAATTTATCGAACATGTAGAGGACATTGGAGAAACCCCTCTACACATTGAAAAACCTATTATCAAGCAATCTATAAAAGCAAATACAACAAAATATAAAAGTGAATCACTCAATCTACCAGGCACATTGCATAAATACTGAATATAAAACCCAAAACCCAATTTTTTATTGCATAAATACTGAATATAAAACCCAAAACCCAATTTTTTATCCCAAAAAAAGTATCGAATGCAGCTTTAAATATACACAAATAGCATGAAAATACAGACCAACAAACAAAAATAATATGAAACAATGATGCGCCCTCAGATCTGATAGCTTCAAATAAATCATCAACGATTTATACCCAGTGCCTATCATCAATTTCCCAATGAACAATTTCAGTACACAAACCCAATTTTTGCAAATGGATTGCCCTAAATCATGTATTCCTTTGTAGATAGATGATGGGGAAGAACAGGGAAGTGGAGAAAGAGAAAGAGAAAGAGAAAGAGAGCCATACCTACAAGAGGGTTCGACGTGCCTGACAAGACCAGGAAGTTTGGGGAGCAAGACAGAAACAGGGGATTTGAGAGCAGAGGAAGGAGAAGAGAGGTTTTCGTCTTTGCAGAGGTAGCAAATGACAACGACCATGAGAGAGATTTGAGAGGCGGCTTGCCTAGGCAGAGGTCAGCTACCTCGTATGCTAGCAAGCGAACTGCCATACAAAACTGAATATGGGGGTTTTTTGAGAGAGAGAAAGAGAAGATGTGGAGGAGGATTCTTAGGTAGAGAGAAAGAGAGAAAGAAAGGCTGAGACTTGGCAGTGAGGCTTGGTAGAGAGAGTGGGCACCGAAGGAGAGAAAGAAAATTCAAATCCCGCCCCCACTGAAAATCAAATTTCCCCCCAAACTTTTGGCGACCAAACGTCAAATTAGTCGCAAAAACAGGTTTTTTCGCCGACAAATTTTTTTAGTTGCCAAATCTTAATCAACGGCGACTAAAATATTAGTCGCTAAAAGTACTAATTTGGCGACTAATTTTTTTTAGTTACTGAAAATAAGGTTTTCGCGGCCAAATTTTTGGTCGCCAAAAAATATGTGACATTTCGCGACCAAATTTGTAGTTGGTCGGCAAAAGTATACCACTTTTTGCAACCAACAAATTTTTTGGTCGCCAAAATATAACCTTCTGCGACCAAAAATATTTGGTCGCCAAAAATAATGATCATTTGCGACTAATTAAAATTTGGTCGCCAAATGTCATTTTTTTGCGACAAAAATTTTTTTGGTCGGCAAAAATGGTCGCAAAATGTGTAAATTCTTGTAGTGGCATGCAATGTATCCAATGTATCTAATGTAAATATGGCATTAATTTTAACACTCTTACATCGACTACTTTCAATGATCAATCATCCATGAAGAACAGGTACATATCCATTTTCTATTTCCTCTAAAAGTAAAATATTGATTTCCATTTCATCAAAATTAGATGGGCTCTTTATTACTAACCCTGCTGACAGAAATTCTGTACTCTTAACATTCAGATTATTTGACAGAATCTTAGAGTTTAATAAACCCCAAATTTCATAATTTTAAAGGCAGTGTACTTTGAGTAACAACAGGAAGAGAAATTCTAAAAACTTTTAAGCTGTCAAACACAAAATAACTAAGAAAAAATATAAAATCAGCTATTTTCTATGTCCTGAACTGGAGGCTGTTTTGCTCAATAAGCTAGCATGATCATTATTAACGTCAAAAATCAATTTTTTCATTTACATATTCCAAATATGTTGATCTTGAATCCACTGATGAAAAATCTAAATAATTTTATGTTCTATGGATTATGGTTCAATATTAAACATCAGTAAAGAGAAAAAAAAAAAAAAAAAAAAAGGATCAAGGGCTGTGATAAGGCTTATAGAATGGACACTTCAAGAGACACGTTGCAAGAAAATGTATGGGGGACCATGTCATACATGGGGAGTCATCAGAGCTACCAATGATTGACTTTGATAAAATATTATAGTCGCTACCGACAACTTCAGCTTAGCAAACAAACTTGGGGAAGGAGGATTTGGACCATTTTATAAGGTAATTAAATTATTTTTCTTTATATGATTCTATATATATATATATATATGCATAGGTAACATGTATCAATGTATTAAATAATAAAAATGATGCATCACAGGGAAAGTTAGAAGATGGGCAAGAAGTAGCAGTGAAAAGACTTTGAGGTGTTCAGGATAAGGCGTGAACGAGTTCAAAAATGAGATCATATTGATCTCCAAATTGCAGTATAGGAATTTGTTAACTCGTGGGTTGTTACATTGAAGGGGAAGAGAAGTTATTGGTTTATGAATATATGACAAACAAAAACTTGGACATGTTTATCTTCGGTTGGTTTTACTTGGCACTTTTTTTTCCTTAAAAAATTAATAAAGATTAACAACAAAATTTACATATATCTAGAGAATAGATTAACAGTTCCATTTGGAATATTGGACATTATGTTGACTAATCTCATTCTCCCGTGCTGTTTCAAGTATGAGTGCACCATATTCAACATCAACAATGATTGAGATCCCTTTTTTTAGGACTCTCGTAACTCCTTCTGGATCTCAACCATTAATGGTGTAAACCCCATATATGCATGAATGGATCTCACATATATATCAATAGTTGAGATTCAAATGAGATTATGAGGGTCCCAAAAAAGGGGGTCCCAAGCATTTTTCATTGAACATATTCCCTAATTAACTATTTGCAATGGGAAAAGTAATTTTTTAGAAAAAAAGAATGCACATTGTAGAAATGCATCTATAAAATAAAAATCAAATATAAAAGTTTAGAGTCTCATATTTCTTCTATAAATGATTCATTAGCTCACTACAACATATGTTACATAGATTTTGGTGTGGGCGCCAGGTATAGGTGAACATGTAGATGTTAGACTCATCAAATATGAAATTTAAGGTTATGCGGACTCGGTAAAAAATATCATATTTTTATATTTTTAATCTATTAGATGAGATAAAATGATGTTATATGATAGCATTAATAGGAATATATAAGAAGTTTGTGATGGAAAGTGGTTGATATATATTCCACATCCTTGTTTAAGTTTTAAGTGTCTAACACATATATTTAATTTATTTTAAAAAGTCCATGTAACGTAGACTACAACTATGTCTAGCACTGAGGAACGAATTTCCTCTTTGTTCTCTTGTCCGAATTGGTGGTAAAATGTATGGAAAGTACTAACTTTGATGAATGCATCATTTTTTTTTTGTTGTCATGCTTACGGTTAGATGCAAAGAAAAGGGTGCATCTTGCTAATTATTTAGGGTATTGCCAGAGGGTTTTTTTTTTTTTTTTTAATTTTTTGTTTAATATCTCCATCGTGATTGTTGTTTAAGGATTATTCATAGAGATTTGAGAGTCAGCAATATTCTCTTGGATGATGAGATGAATCTAAAAATTTCAAATTTTGGGTCAGAGCGAACTTTCTGAAGGTCACAAGAACTGGCAAGTGGTGGGAACATTGTAAGGAGCCTTTCTTTCCTTCAATAATTGTGCTCACCTTTGCCAACAATTTTCCTTACTAATGCAGTGTTTGGTTGAGTTGAGTTTAGTAGAATTTGTTTCTAAATTATTTTCAAAATATTACAGACTAGTTTTTCAAAAAAAAAAAAAAAAAAAAAAAAAACTAAAAAAAAAAACACCAAAAAAATTGTTTTCCTTACTAATGTAGTGTTTGGTTGAGTGGAGTT